CATGAGACAAAGTATATGTGAACTGCTGTATGCAAAGTAAATTTGCTCTGTAAACCTTCACCCAAATCACAATAAAAAAAAAAAAAAAAGATTACAGCCAAGAAAACCCTATGGGGTGATTTTACTTTGTCACATGTGGTCTCTATGAGTCAAAATTTACTTGATGGCACCCAACAAGAACAACAACAAAAAAAGGATAAGACCTACAACCCAGGAGTAAGAAAAAAACTGAAATAGACCAGCTTAGCAAAGCCAAAGATGTACTATGGACAAGATACAAATGATCTGCTAGTATTCTATCTTCCTGTCAACAGAAAATAAGTTTTCATAAGTAAAAGTAATGTCTACATTTAAATAAAATTATGATGCATCCCAAAGGGGGGGAAAAGTATGAAATGACCGAAAAAACAAAAAATCAAGGGAAATAATAAAAACCAAACCATACTCATCGCCATTGAGTCAGATCCGACTCATAGCAACCCCTCCTTGGATTTCCGAGGTGGTATCTCCACGGAAGTAGGTTGCCCAATCTTCCTTCCAAGGAGTGGTTAGCAATCAAATGCCTTAGGCACTATGCCAACAGTGAAAATAGTCCTGTAAGTGATTCAAATATTGGAGTTAACCATAAGGTGTTTTAAGTCATTACAATTAATGTTATAGAAAATAGGGGAGAGGGGATAGAGGTTATTTTCAAGAATCAAGAAAAGAATAAACATATGATCCTTAAAAAAAAAAAAAAAAACCTCAAATAAAAAGAAAGTATTGAGATTCAGTATTTTCCACTTATTTATGCTGAGGAATATTGGCTATTTTCTCATTCCTCATTTTTTCTTCCCTTTTTGGTTGCTTCTACCCTCTAACTCACCTTCACCCTTCCAAAACTGTTATCACTTTATGCTGTAATGGAGAGTACAAAAGGTACCTGTAGTTTTAAAAATCAATCTATTGAATTGGAAGACATGAAAATTGTTTTCAAGAAGAGGCAACATATTTAACCGAAAGAGGATAGATACTAAAATCAGATACCTCTGTAAAAACAATCCCTTCTACCTACTCCTTTGGGAGATCAGATACAAGTTACTTAGCCACTCTGAATATCAGTTTTCTCTCCTACAGAAATAAACACTTACTGTAAAGAACTGTTTCCAGCACTAAATGAAACACTTTTATAGCATATTATCCAAAAAAACCAAACTCACTGCCATTGAGTCAATCCCAACTCATAGAGACCCCCAATAGGTTTCCAAAACTGTAAATCTTTACGGAAGCAGACTGCTTCATCATTCTCCCTTGAGCAGGTGGTGGGTTTGGATCACTGACATTTTGATTAGCAGCCAAATGTCTTAAACACTACACCACTAGAGCTCCTTATAGCATAAAATAAACCTAAACCACTGCCGTTGAATCAATTACTACTCACAGAGACCCCTGTTGGGTTTCCAAGGCAGTAAATTTTTATGGAAATAGATTGCCTAGTCTTCCTTCCCCAGAGTGGCTGGTGGGTTTGAACCATCAGCCTTCTGGTTAGCAGTCAAATGCCTTAGGCATTACACCACCCAATAAGTATTAGTATTTCCTCTGTTTTTTGTGCTATCACCAATGGAGAGAGGCTTATATGCATAGCTGGTAATCTTAAACTTCAGAGAGGGAAACCATTTATGTGAGAATTGTCATTCAATGTCACCAACAAAGATGAAATAAAATCCAAGGGAAAAAAAAAGCAGTGTTGCAAATATCTGGAACAAATACCAAGACAGTTAAGACCAAGACTGGCTGTTAAACAATGCTTTGCATGCTCTGGCTTGCTCTTCAACAATCATTCCTATTAAATCATTTGTGTGTCTGACACATCTAATGAAGTCATGCTCATGATCAGCTTAATCACGGGATGCAGCATAGTACATATTTTGACAGGAAAGCTGTTTGGATAAAACTGAAACATGCAGCAAATATATAATTTCATAAAATGTTCATTATGCTTTCAGTGCGACAATTCTTGGCTTGACTCCTTTTATGCATATTTAGTCATTTAAACATACCTAAACAGTGCAACAGACTGTTATGGTACGGTTAACAAAAAAGATTATTCTTAAGCAAACCCATGGCAAGCAAATAAAATAATAAACAATTGCAAACTCAGCAAACCCTGAATGATATACTCTATCTGGAAATCTTTAAATTCTGGAGCAATCACATGTTTCTAGCTAAATGTTATATAGCACTAAAATGATTCTAGATATAAGCAAATATAAAGAAGAAAAACACTGAGTTAAGAGACGTCATCCAAATAAATAATATTTTCCTAGAATGTTGTAAGAAAACCTGAGTTTGGCTGCTAGATAATCACTTAATTGTTCAACTAGTGATTAAACAACCATATCTTATATGTTGAAATACTTTTTAAAGTGAGGTCAGGACGTCAGCCTGTTCTGTTATAAAAGGTCTCCAGGCCCTGTGTCTCAGCACTAATTAGAAGTGAGACTTACATCACTCTCATGACCTTCTCGCAGGTTGTATGTGAGGTCGTGCTGAATGTCTTCCATGAATTTGTGAGCATATTCTGGGTAAAGGTCTAGCACTTCAAAGAGTCCTTTAAGGATGATGCACTGGAGATCACAGTAGGTTAAAGCCTTCACATCTGCATTGGTCTTGATCACTTGGTCCTTAATTGATAGGTTAGCTCCAATTAAATCTCCTTTTCCTAGAAACAGTGAAAATAAAAAGAGAGAGAGAGAGACATGGTACTTTAAAGGAATGACAGCTTAAGAGTGGTAATTTCACTTGATTTACATGTTTCATTTACATGTTTCAGAGTATACTGAAAAGAAAAGAACCTTTTTCTAGGGCAGGGTTTCTTGAATTCAGCAGTATTGAGATTTAGAGCATGATAATTCTTTGTTGTAGGGGGCTGTCCTAAGCCCTGTAGAATATTTATCATCACCTCTGGCCTCTACTCATTGGACACCATTAGCACCTTCTGCCCCCCATGTTTGGAAAATCAAATATAGACATACCTCAGAGATAATTTGGGTTTGGATCCAGACGACTGCAATAAAGCTAATATTGCAATAAAGTGAGTCACACGATTTTTTTTTGTTTCCCAGTGCATATAAAATTTATGTTTACACTATCCTGTAGTCTAATGCTGTGCATGGGGTCGCTATGAGTCGGAAACAACTCGACGGCACCTAACAACAACAACAATGTACAACAATTATGAAAAAGTTTGAAATATTGTGGGAATTACCAAAATGTGACACGGAGACACGAAGTAAGCACATGCTGTTGGAAAAATGGTGCTGATGGGCTTGGGCAATGCAAAATTGGCACAAACCTTCAATTTGTTAAAAATAATAATAACAAAAAAAAAAAGGTAGTATCTGTAGAGCCCAATAAAGTGAAGCACAATAAAATAAGTTATGCCTGTGTATCTCCAGATCTTGCCAAATATCCCCTGGTGGATGAAACTGCTCCCAGTTGAGAACCACTGGCCTAGGGGAGAAAGGCTGTGAAACTAGAGTTAGGAACTGTGGGCCACAGATGGCTCCAGAAAGGTCATCACAGCATTCATCTTTAGACAAATCAATATTTTGGTCACAGTTGTCTTACTGTTCAAGGCAAATAATAATGGCTTAGATGTTTTTAAATATAAAAGGGGTTCTGTTTTTGAAGCAAAACCATCAAGATATATATTAATGAATTTGATTCTAGCTCTTTGTATAATAATGTAAGCCTGATCTTCAGTTTTCTGATGATCCATGCTCCTTTATTTATCTCTGAACTTGTCTACAGGACAGTAGGGTGGTGCTGGTGATTCCTCTCCCCAGAGCTGAGAGGAGGTGGTGACTAGTGAACATTATGGACAATGAAATCTAGTACATAAAATATAAAGCACACCTCACAGTTCTAATGTTCTGTGACAGTGTAAAAACCCCCTTTTTCTCTATCAAAATATAAAGTGAATAGAGAAAAATGATGAGGTCTTCAGTTATGTCACCTCAGGAAGAGATCTGCTGTTACTTTATCCAAGTTGTATGTGCCCCGTCCCACACTGAAGAAAATCAGGGGGTGATTTTATTGTCTGCCATACTTCTGCCTACCATACTTAGGCTGTAACTCAGTTGTCTAAGAACTAGTTTGCGTCTTTGAGTTTGTTGAGTAGATAATATTAGAAACTGCTTAAATCTTAGAAATCTTTAAATTCATTTGAATCAGGAAAAAAATAAGTAGGAAAGTAAGTCTAATTATAAATGCTAGCAAAAAGCCGACTTTACCTTTAAATTAATTTTAGACCCAGGCCTTATTTCATCCATTATCTATCTGAGAAACATGAATGAAAATTCATTCATTACTTAAACTTAGATTGAAAGGTAAAGTAATCTGAACAAGACCCCAGAGGACACTGACATCAGATTTATGACTACCATTCAGGAATTCCTGGGTCTTTGCTTTGTCCTAAAATAGCATCATGCCTGGGATTTAATTTTTAATTTAATTTTTTTTTATTGACCATTTTGCTTCAACTCATAGGAAGCCAACATACAATCGACAAAAACCTCCCCAAGCAATCTATATCTTTGGAACATTATGGAACAAATTATCAGCTGATCCAAATAATATTTTTTAACTTCTAAATTTTTACTTTTTTTGTTCCCAGCATTTGTGGAACACAGAACTGTATGTAGTAGGCTTCAATAATAGTCTGTTCTATTGAATTTGACATGAAAAGAAACATGCCAAATTAACCATAAATGCAGGAGATATTCATAAATATCTGTGGCAGATTAAAAAAATGAGGGCTTTAAAAATTTTTGAAGTACATGTAGTTATTACTTTCAAATTAACACTGGATTTGAACCTTGAAATTGAGCTATTTTGACAGAGGAAAAAACAGACTAACATCTGTGTTTATGGACACTAGATATGATGAATGGTCACATGGTGCAGAAAAATTCAGATTTGATTTTTTGCTGTCACTGATACGTCTGGACTAGAAAATTTTATTTCTTGCATATTTTCTCATAAATCTAAACAGTTGATGAAAAACTCAAAGTTGGGTCCTAATGAAAGGTGTAAATATAGCCAAGATGTCTTAAATGCAGCAGTTTTTCATATTTTGCATATTGATGAGAATTTATCATAATGCAGTATTGTATAAAATGAGCATTTATGTTCTGTGTTAAGGAATTAGTATTTGGAAAAACTTTAGGACCATCATACTTTCATACTTAGGGTTGCCATGGTATTGTCATTGCGGTATGATGAATCACTTTTCTATGGCCTTTCTGACCATGGTCTTGTAACTCTCACAAAATGATTGGCTGTAGCTATGCAAATTGAATGAATTGTGGTCTGCCAAGGGGATTGGCCAGTTCATGGTCTTGTTGGGAAGGTCATGCCTTGAAATTTAATATGAGTGCCAATCCCACAGAGGTTCTGGGGGACCTCACTACCATCATGGGTCTGGAGCAGAGCATATTCTTTGGACTTATGACCCAAGGTCCCTATGCTGAGAACCTCCTAGACCTAGAATAAAGAACTGAAGACAATGCAAGATGGTGGTGGGCAGCGACAGTGGTGGTGGGCTTGCTGGCCCATGAAGTGAGGTGCTGTGATGGGCTTGCAGGCCCACCAAGTGAAGCAGTTGCTGTGGGCTTGTTGGTCTATAGAATGAGAGCTGAGCATCTGTAGGTAGGAGGCTTGCTGGTAAAGCTGAAAGAGCTGTAGTACTTGGTCCTGCAGGGCCGAGGCTTTAGTGTAGGGGTTGTCTTAGAAAATCCTTTGTAAGGGTCTTCCTCTAGCAGGATGGGGCCAGATGCCTCTGGTCCAGAGGCTTGCCAGTGGAGCTAAAAGAGCTGTAACACTTGTGCAGGGCAAGAGAGACCTGAGTATGCCCTGTGCAAAATTGTACACCTACCTTCCTGGGTAGCAGAAACCCCACTAGCATGGTGGCAAAAGAGCTCTGCAGGCTCAGGTAGCAAGGCTAGAGCCAGTAGCAGAGGCTTAGAAGGGCCCAGAAGCAAAGCACTGGCAAATCCTAGCTGGGGATTTTCCTGCCAGTGAGGAAAGACCCGGTGAGGCCCAACAATAGAGAAAAAGTTTTGGGAGTTGTGCAGACCCGTCAAGCAGCATGGCAGTGGTGCTAGTGAAGACAGCATCTGACATCTGAGTTGAACTAGAGTGTGCTTATCCAGAGACACCAGAATAGACATGGGTAATTTGGGGAAGGGGAATTACTTCCTCTTTGAGAATCTGTTGTTATTGTTTACTGTTTACTTTCTATACATAATAATAATAGCTTTCACTTTACCAAGGAGCTCCGGTGGTGTAGTGCCTAAGGTATTTGACTGTTAACCAGGAGGCTGGTGGTTCAAACCCACCAGCCACTCCTCAGAAGGAAGACTGGGCAATCTACTTCTGTAGTGATACTGCCTTGGAAACCCAAGAAGGGGTTGCTGTGAGTCGGATGTGACTCGCACTAGTGAGTTTAGTGAGTTCACTTTACCAACCCTGTGTAAATGTCTCATATGCCAGCTCAATCATAGATAAATGTCATACCTATGTGATAAATGCCACACCTACTGGTTGATGCCAGTGGGTATAATGTTTCATTCTGAGCAGTCTATGGCTGTCTAGAAGTTTAAGGCACAGACTGTCTGCATGTGCAATGGAGATAGACAGGATATTTGATCATTTTAGCCACAAAGATACTAACTATGAAAATAGCATTAAAATCTTGCCAAAACTGGTGTCCTAGAAGACTTCAAGTTTTTTTACTCACTCATTTATGGAACGCTGCCTGTGTATTCCAGACAGTGTGTTGATGAGTCCTGGCCAGGAGGCACTGTAAGTAACAACATACATATTTCTCACCCTGGTAGTCTTGTGGATTTGTAGATTTAGAATTTCTATATTCAAGTACTCTGAGTTTTAATATTCTCATTTCTAAAAGAAGAAAAAGAGATTTCTATGTTCTCTGACAGTTTCCATTTTTCAGAATTCTATTATTGATATTTGCTAATTAGTTTTTATTCCATTTGGGGAAAAAAGTTCATGGGATACATCTGGAAACCATGCAGGTTAGAGCTATAACTTATGTTTAATTATAATTAGGCAGACTAATGCCATCTGTGAAGAGTATATTTATCTGTACTTTGTTTTCTTTTAAAACAGCTATGAAGATATTGGTGGGGAAAACACAAATACTTTGATATGAATTGACAGTGTAAAAAGCATACAAATTCTATCCTTGTAATAAATTCCTTCCCCTATGGCAACTACCTCTCTAGGATCAGATTAAGAAAGATCTCCATGCATTGAGTGGATAGTGAAGTGGCTTGAAAAATTTTATGACTTGACAGCTGTTTGGTGGCACTTCTTCCTCACAACATTATATATTAGTTCATTTCATTGGCAGAATGTGCATGTATTAAATATCTACAGATCCAATGTGAAGTCATGTACTTAAGTCTATCAAAGTCAGTATTGATTTGAATTGGTCCTGTAAGACAGTATTACCATAGAAAAATGAAATATTCAATCTCCATTGAAAGAATGTTAACCACAAAGAGCAAACATTAATAATTTATTATATTTGTTTGGGTTTAGTCCTAACAGCACATAGGAGTGTTCAGAATGGCTATGTGGCAATTTGCACTTAAATCACTTTAGATAAACACAAGTAGAAACAAATATGTGAAATATTAACCATGGAAATCACAGTTTATGGAGGATGTAAGGGCAATAGCAAAAGGCAATGAATTATATCTGTCAGCTGTAAGTAGATTTTAAAAAAAAATAATAAGAAAACCCAATCAAATCATGTATTTGGCAGTTACATAGAAGCCAATATATTTACACCTTTTGTGCTCTAATGTTAAGGATGATGCCTTCACATTCCATTCCTAGAATTGCCACTAGCTACCAAATTAAAAAATGCACTACTATTATGCAAAAAGATACAAAAAAAAAAAAAAAAGCTGTTTACAAAGGTGCATTAATTTTGCTTATAAATGTATTAAACCATACAAAACCAAACCAACTGTCACAGTGTTGGATCCAAGTCATAGCAACCCCTTCTTGGGTTTCCGAGGCAGTATCACTACAGAAGTAGATTGCGCCATCTTCCTTCCAAAGAGTGGCTGGTGGTTTTGAACTGCCAGCCTTCTGGTTAGCAGTCAAATGCCTTAGGCACTACGCCACAAGAACTCCATAATGTTCTGTAAAAATGGCTAGATGCCCTTTTAAAAGCAGACTGTGCCAATTGGCTGGCTATAAAACTTACAGTGGTACTAAGGAAACCCACAGAAAAATATTACAGATTAAAGTGAAATTTTTGAAGCAAATTTATAAATGCAAATCAAATGTAGAATAGCAAAATGATAGAATGATTAGCTTCTATCTTCACAAAGTTGAGAAATGGGCAGAGAGAGAGTAAATTTTCTCTTAAGAAAACGACAGACATGGGGAGCCTGACTTCAACTTCAACTGTCTGGGCTGCTAAACTCTTTTAGTCACTTTTCCATGTCTGTGTTTTAAGGGAAAAATGTAAGGGGGTGAGTCAAGAATTGAGCCAAAACATGGAAAGACAGTCCTGCATTTTCTCTGCTAAGTAGTAGATGAAGGCAGCATGAGGCAATGAAAAATTCATGGGTCTTTCACCACTCATCTTTCATCATCATGGGTCTTTCCTCCATCTCTTTGGCTTTCAATGGGGATAATCATCCCAGTCTAATTGAGTTGCACGCTTTAAATTAGATCAATGGACGTAAAACACCTGGCTTATATTAGGGATTCAATAAACATTATTTCTCTTCTTTCTTTCAGAAAGTAATCTGTCCTGAAGCTTACTTGCTGGAACTCAGTGATAGGGAGGCTCATGGTGATTTTGTGGAATGCAGGTACTTTTCACAGTTGGAAGAGCACTGCATGCAGAATCCAAAGACCTAATTTAGGTCTTAGTTTGAGTAAACATATTTTGTCCCTTGTCTTCCTTCAGTTTTGTGAATGCTTAAATGAGACAGCACATGTGAAAACGTATTTTTAGTGGTCAAGCTGTTTACAAACATTAGGTTCCTATATTTGATAATTAAAAATAAACAAAAGCTGCTTCTGTATTAGCCCTTATAATTAAGACAAATTTAAACATTAGAGTATAATTTATTGTAGAAAATCAGGTTGAATCCACCTTCAAAATACATCCTGAATTCACTTACCCCTTACCACCACTGCTGTTACCTGGTCCAAGCCCCCATCTTCTCCCTCACTTTATCTATCTATCTATCTATTTTTCATGATTATGTGGTTTATTAGGGATGTAGCACGTTACAATTCGGGTTCAGAAATGCTCAGGATACAATTCTTCATTCAGGACAACGTCCCCTCAGTAATGCCTTTAGGCACACCACTCTGGCTCTTGGCTCTGCCCTGCTGGGGTAAGCTCTTTTAGCTTTGTTGATAGGGACACCTAAGCATACCCTACTCTGCCAGTAAGCCTCCTACCCACGACACTGTTTTCTCACTCCTAGGCTCCCACTTTCTCTCATACCTCTTGGTTTCACCATCTCAGTGCAGTCTCTCTGCTGACTCTGCCACCGAGGTCCAGTTTAGAGATCTTGGGCCCAAGCATACATTACACTTTAGTTCCAGTTCTTCTCTCTTAATGGAATGAGACCCTGCTTCTGCCTCTAGGACGGTTCACTATAAGTGTAGCAGAATGACAAAACTGACCAATCCCTGTATTAGGGCTCCATACACCTTATTTCCGTGATCTCACACTGAGAAGGGTGCCACATATCTTACTTACATTACCAACTATCCAGTCTCCTTAGTGGACCATGAGTACCTTGTATTTGCATAGTTCCACTCAATAATCTAGTGGGAGTCACAAAGACCATGGCTAGAAGAGCCATATGAAGTAATTCACTGCACCACAGAAGGCAACTCCCCTTCCACTGGTTAACATCTCACAGCAGATTTCACCAAGTGATTATACCACATCCAGTCTCATGTTTCCCCTCACTTTAATCACCATAGGGGCAGGATTTTGGGCCGCTTTCTTTTCTGCTCTGTACTCACTGTTTAGAACTCTACCTGTATCACTAGTAAGACCTCTATAAATCTCAATAAATATTAGTTGCATAACTGAATGGATAAATGAATGAAGTGGTTTGTAAGAAAGTCACATGTAAAATTGTTGGTAGGGTTTTTCTCTATATTAACCCTCAATGTCATCTTTTAACATTTCAATGAATACAAATTATGATTTACTAGTGCAGTCAACTTTGTGGCACACAATCTTCATTGCCTTATGAGTTTTCTTTCAGGAAGTAAAATTCCTTAAGGAAGTAAAAAGAATCTACATTCATTTCACAGTGTTAGCTTTAGGATTGCTAAGAGAGCTTATAATGGAGGCAGAGAGTAATTTTCTTCTGTTTCTAGCACAGGTAAAACTTAACTTTCATATATTTTTCTGAACTGATGCTCCATGAAAATATAGAAACACTCTTTTAATACTGACCAGATAATGTCACCATGAAGCAGCGTGCATTGTGATTAATAACCTAGGCTTAGAAATCAGTAACAGCTTGGTTCATTTTCTGCCTATGAGATTTGGAAAAAGTTAACTAAGGTATTATTTATTCATTCATAAAATGGGGTAATATTTACACTATTGGATTTTTAAAAAAAGAATTACATGGCACATTGGATATAACACTTTACACCATATACATTCAATACATGGCAAAATGATGATAATAATTAGGATATTAATAATAAATAGTTGATTAATTCACCACTTACTGTGCTGAATAGTTCTGGATTTATAAACCCATATTAAGAATAATCTTGAATTCATATATTTATCTGTAATTTTCCTACCCTTAATGGCAATGTAGTTTTTTTCCCCCATTTTATCTCTTTAACTTATGATCCAGAATAAAATTTCACAGAAACTTTTCCACGTAGACGTACCAAGAATAGCCAGCACCATGCTGTCTTTAAGAACTTCCATGGAGCCAGAACATACAAAGTAAATGGCTTGCAAAGCATCTCCTTGACGCAGCAGATACTCCCCCGGAGCACAGAAAGAGGTTTTGATGTGTAGAGACAGAGACCTAAGGCAGCCCCGGCTGGCACACTCAAAGAGGGACAGTTGTAGGATCTCCTTGTTCAAGTGCATGGTGATGTCAGAACGCAGTTCATCTGGAAAGTCTTTCAAAAGCTGTCAAACAAGATGAAGGAGGAAATCAAGTTGCAGCAAGTGCAGCCTAACTGATCTACTTTGCAAGACACCAGGAGCACTCTTTCTAGTGTTTAACCAACCAAAGCACAGAGGAAGAAATATGTGTAGGTATTATCCTGGAGAGATTTTTTTCTATTACTGTAACTATGTGCTACTGAACAATCAGCTGATGATACATCTGGAGAAATAGAATAGATTAATAAGAGTCTACAAATAAAACATACAACTCATTGTGACTTGATTTTCACAGATTCCTACTCAGGACAGAAGATATGGAATTTTGGCCCTCTAATGTTTCCTCTAAGGAGCTCTGGTGATGTAGTAGTTATGGCACATGGCTGCTAACCAAAACGTTGGTGGTTCGAACCCACCAGCTGCTCTGCAGAAGAAAGTTGAAGCAGTCTGCTTCCATAAAGATTTACAGCCTTTGAAATCCATGGGGGGTCACTATGAGTTGCTATCGACTCAATGGCAATGAGTTTGGATTTAGGTTTGGGGTGTTTCCTCTAAGGAGCTGTGGTGGTGTAGAGGTTAAGGCATTTGGCTGCTAACCAAAAGGTTGGTGGTTTGAACCCACCAGCTGCTCTGGGGAAGATAGATGAGGAAGTCTGCTTATGTAAAGATTTACAGCCTTAGAAACACAATGGGGGTCACTATGAGTTGGAATTAATTGGGGGGCATGGGGATTGGTTTTTGGCATGTTTCTTCTGGAATCATGATCATATGAAGAAATGAGAAATTAAAAATTCCCTTTTATAAATATGGGTTACTGATTTGGTTGGTGGAATGGTTGCTTGATTTATATGCTACCTTTGTTTTTTTTGGCAGTGGTGGTTTAGGACATTTCTTGAGGTCCACAGATTGATTACACCTCTGTTGGAAAAGCATATATACTTTTTTTAACTTTAAAGGTAAACATTAGCTTGCATAATATAATATAGGCAGTCTCTGGGGTATGAATGAGATGCATTCATAAGTGTTTCTTTAAGTCGAATTTGTAGGTAAATTGGAACATGTGCATATGATTCTTATTTAACCTTACTTTAATGTGAGAAAAAGGAGGTTGGTGGCATTTGGCTGCTAACCAAAAGGTCAGTAGTTTGGACCCACTAGCTGCTCTGTGGAAGAAAGATGAGGCAGTCTGCTTCCATAAAGATTTACAGCCTTGGAAATCCAATAAGGATTGCTGTGGGCCGAAACTGACTCAGTGGCAGTGAGTTTGTTTTTTGGTTTTCAGGCAAGAAAAGGCTCAAAGCCTTTTCAATGATTTGAAAGCTGCACATGCAGTAAGTGAAGGTGAGTGTGATAAAGAATTGGTTGCAAATAGGAGTTGGTTCAATTTTTTTCAAAGTGAGGGCAAATTTACATAACATTAACAGGCAAGTATGAATACAAGTTGTCAGTAAAATGGACATTGATAATCCAGGGATTTACTGTAGTCTGAGATTAGGCTAATCAATTCTCATAAACACTGTTTCCTTGAAATAATTCAACTAAAATAAAAGTTAAGTCTATCTACCTTACTGACCAGAGTAGCAAACTAACATGAATCATTTGTCAATCCTAAGTGCCATCATGAAAATGTAAGCTAAAACAGATGAAAAAACGGTGGATTGGGTTTCTTGAGAGCTTCAAAAATAAAGTGGTAAATCAATCGGTAGGTGTACTCCTCAATTCTGAGACCTGTGTTAAAGTGTCTTGCCTTTACCTTAGAATATGTGTTCTCTGCCTGAAAATGTCAACATGAGAAATGCACATTACCTCATTTGAATCTATTCCATTGTTGACTGACCAGGTAGTTTGGAAATATTCAAGCATCCTCTGCTTGAGCTGCTGGGGTAGATGGTGGACACGGATGAAGTCCTTCAGTTCTGTGGTTCTCGTGTGATAGAGGGACCATCGCGAGTACATCCTCTGTATGATTGCCGTCACGTTTCCAAACACCAGGGCATGCATCAAGGCTACATAAAACAACACAGCATACGGTGAGAGACGAGTATGGTAGAGAGCACACCCCTTATTCTAAATTTGCCGTCTGTATATTCTGGATCAGAGCAGATCATACTTATATGGCCAACATGATACGGTTACTTTGGTGCGGCATTTTGGTACAACCACATTGTCAACAAACTGTATCATGATGCAGTCATTTTGATTCCAAATGGCTTGATCAGAGTTAAAAATATCTTTAAAAATACTCAGTAATATGCAAAATAAGCCTTTTTGCACCACACTTGATCTCTTAGCGGCCATTCTGGTTTTGATAAACTTTTGTTTTCTATTTTATTCATATCTGTATTGCTTTAACAGTTATGATTGTAAGGAAGATGGGGCAATCTACTTCCACAAAGATTTACAGCCTCAGAAACACAATGGGGGTTGCTATGAGTTAGAAAATACAAATACATTTTTTTAAAAATACACTGTCATTGGTTAGCATTTTGGGGAATATTAGTCTACCCTCCAAAAAAGCATCACTTTAAAATAGTTTTAGGATATTAATTTATATTCTTAATTTTAGAATATATGCATTTCTGTTAATAGAAGTAGAAATGTAATTTAGGATTTTCTAAGCAGTTTGAAACTGAGATTAATTAATATGATTCAAATATATGTTCAACCAACTCAGATTCCTAGTCGCTTTTAAGAATACTTGAGATCCTGACCACGCAAGATACTAATGAATTTACAGAGAAAAATAATTATTCTGCTGAGAGTCATTTCCATACCAAGGAGAGCCTGCGCAGTACATACATGACTCCTAAATTGATTAAGTTTGTCAGAAAGACAATTCTCACTTCCTTGTTGAGTTCCCCATCCCCCTTCCTGAAACCACCACCACAGTATAATGAGATAGACTTTGTCCATCAGAATGTGAGGGTCTGTACGGTTTAAGAGATAGCTGTGTTTCTTTAGAGAAAAGGAGGGTGAGAGGCTGGACCTCACGTTTAAGGAATTGTCCATTGTCAGGAGTGGTTAGGCCTCTTGAAGTCAGAGAGAGGCATGATAGAATTTTCTACTACACAGTCATGAGCAGAACTTGAATGGCCTAATGCAGACACCAGCAGATATCCTTAAAAGGACTTCCACTGAAGTGAAAACTGACAGAGGAGTGAGAGCCAGGTGTACTTTCATTTATGGGCACATAAAGTCTAAGTAATATTCAGATTTCATCCCTGATCCCCAACCTGGGGCCAGGCTCACCAATGAGGTAAGATACACAGGGGTTCAGTGAACTCATTTATTTCAATAGTTTTGGGTACAAAACAAACACCTAAATATTTTGCAGTTTGTCTCTCAAAATATCACTGAATCAAAACCTTAATGTCCAAGGATCTTTGCTAAAAGTTTCTTAGCATTAAAACAGATTAGTATGAGTGTGTCAACATGGTATTATATCTATCCTCCTGAATATTTTAAGACAGTCCCAATTCGAGCTCTTTAAAATTTTTTTTTCTACATTTATTACAAATGAACAAGCACTGGTATACAAATTTCAATCTAATCAGAAACTAAAATTAAAATTCT